ACCGGAAGTAGAGCAATTGGTCTATAGTTTAACGGATCTGTCTTTTTTCCTTTCTTTGGAATGGGTTGTACTGCGGCAGACTTCCATGATGATGGATATACTCCTTGCCTGTAAGACAAATTGAATAATTTTGCGAAAGTTGGGGTGAGTTCGTTGGCGCAATTTTTGAGTTACTATTGCGGAAATGCCATCCGGACCCATTGCTTTGTTTGTATCCAGCTTTTTTAGGGATTTTCGTATTTCTCTGTGACAAAAGGGTACCTCTGGCATACTATGGGAAACCCTTTCAATGAACGGTGGAGTTTTTCCGTTTGGCACTGTTAGGTTGGAGTTGGAGGAAAACATTTGGGCAAGCATATTGGCTTTTTCCTCTGATGTTGTGGCTAAGTGATTATTTTTATCTGTAAGTGGTGGTATGGATGACTTGGTGAAGTTAGATCCAACAGCTTTTGCAAGAGACCAAAAAGACCTAGAACTACTTGGACAATTTAGCAACCTGTTTTTTATTCTTTGATTGTATGTTTCTTTAGCGGAGTCAATAGTAATTTTGCAACTATTTCTGGCTTCTATAAATTCTGTGTGGTTTTGAGCGGTTTGTTGTCGTTTCCAAAGGTTATATGCTCTGTGTTTTTTCTGTACAGCCGTTTGACACTGGCTGTTGAACCAAGGTTTTGCATTAGCTCTACGTTTGGTTGTATGTGGGATATATGCGTCCATTCCAGATAAGATTACTTGTGTTATTTCATTACAGCAAATAGTGGGATCAGCTGTTTTAAAGTAAACCTCTTGCCATGGAAAATCCAGGTAAAACTGTTTTAGGTCATTCCATTTTGCCGATTTATAGTGCCACATTTTACGAGGAAGTGGTTGTAAGCTTGGTGGGATGAGCATTTCGCACTTTGTTATTATAAGTTTATGATCGGACGAACCAAGTGGAGCATCTACTTGAATTGTGTACGAGTCAGGATTGGTGGTTAGGAACAAGTCTAAAAGCGCTGCAAATTCGCCCCTTTCTGAGATACGGGTAGGTTCATCGACAAGCTGCGTTAGACCACAACTTATGGCAAAAGCTTCTGCTTCTCTGCCTTCGTTATCTGTTTTGTTGTGGTGTTTCAGCCAGGGTATATTGTGGACGTTGAAATCGCCTAAAAAGACAATTTCCGCCTGTGGATAGTTTGACTGTATACTATCACAGCTTTCGGATAATGTCGCGAAAAAGTTTTGGTGTTGGTCCAATTAGTTTAAATTAGAAAGAAAAAAAATAGGAAAATGGAAGAAAAGCAAAACGCAAATTGAATTTTGAAACATTTTATTACATTCCTATTAATTTTTTTCCATATACATACATACATTCATATTATGCGTAGGTAGGATAACATTTCTAAATTCAGTCCAATTTATGTATAAACCATCACAGTTTGTGGGATAATTTTTTTGAAAGTCGTTCAAAAGTAAAATGGAACCTTGTGGTTGTTTAAGAATTGGAAATGCTTCAAAATATTCCATCACGCCTATTCCCTTTTTGATCATGTTCTATCGTGCATTGGAGGAAATGTTCCAATTATTTTCAATTTAGTCCATGGGATAAATATTGTATTTGCAAAATTCAATTGCATACTGTTCTTGGCTGATTGGGTTCATCATCTAAATTGTCATTTTTGTCTGGAAAAGCTGAAAAAAAGCAGTCGTTTAGGATATTTTGAATAATTCATTGTTGAGGGGAAAATTAGATCTATTGTAACGTTTTATCAGTCAAGTTGCAATTGGCAATAACAGTCAAAATTACACTACGGCGTAATATTACTTACTTGTTGTTTCTGAGGTACACTTCTCAGCTCATTAAATGTTTTTTCCACATTGATGTACCTTGACCAAAGCTTTCCACTACATTTTTGCGAAGTGTATTTGTAAGGGCGAAAATAAATTTCCTCCGACTCTTTTTTGAAGACTGTACTAATTTCTTTTGCTACTTGTTGGAATGCAATCTGTGGAATCCTGGAACAAAATTATTTTTGTTGATAATAATACTTACAATTCAATTAAATAATGTAGTAATTATTACTTTTCTCTGTACTTTTTCATCAAAAATTTTATGATTATTTTCGTCAACTTCTTTTTTTTTGAGGGGACTTAAAAGTTCATTTCGAGATAATAAGAGTGTTCAGTGTTCTCATCAAGGTATTTTTCAAGACTCTAAAATAAACAATTTTTAAAAAGTCAATAATTATTAAATAAATTGTTAATTTTATTATTTCATTACCTCAGGAAAAATAGATGTTCTTAGTAAACTTTCGTCAATTTCAAGAATAAAGACTTCCAAGTCTAGGTATATCGTTAGCTGAAAAAAATAAAACATTTTGAAATAGGAGGGTTTATTCTATAGTAAGTATATACGAATGAAATGTAAAAGAGAAAAATAACCCATAAAAAACAAATTAATTTTTTTGATGTCGCCTTCCTCTACTCTGCAAAATTATAAATTAAATTAATTTTGGCCCATATTGAAATATTTTGCGCTTGCGTTTTATATGTATGTATGTGCGAGAGTTGATCAAAACTTACCTTCAAAGGAGTCCAGGAGTTCACTCAGCTCAACATTTTCCAAAATTTCTTTAATACTATTCATATTGCACCGCAAATACACTAAATCATAAATATGGGAAAACCTTCGAAACATATTTTCTAAACCTCGATCAAGCGTGGAACAGGGTGGCGAGGTGTGACTCATTCAAGTCATTCACTAACTGGTAACTAAATGAATCCCGAATATCACTGAAAGTCAAATTTCTGTCTTTGGTGTACGAGTTAAAATAAAATTAGTAAACAATAACATCCCCATTTCCTAGCTCGAACAATGTGAATATTGTAAAAAAGCATTTTTATTATAGATGGATAATATCCTCTAAAATCTTCTGATATTAAAAATTACCTTTAGAATAAATGTAGGACAAATCTTAATAAAAAATATTGTAAAATAGGATTCTAAGTAGAATTTATTATAAATTATATTTAACAATAACATGTTAACGGTTTGGCGGGAAATTATACTAAGTATTATAGTAGATCGTATTATATATTCAATATTTTTCAATTATTATAAATTTTTAGTAACTGATACTAAAATATGCTTATAAAAAGTATAATAATTTTAATAGCAATCACTAGAATTTATTTACAAACTATTATAATAAACTTAGTTTTTTCCGTGTATATTCTTGAAGAGCACAATGCTCCGATTTCAAAAATATATAGTTTATCTATATTTCATTGAGCAGTCTCTCATTTATTCGCCTCCAAAAGTTGTAAAAATACTATCCCACTACTGATTCTGTGAACCATTCTACTTGTGCAGGTGAAAGCTGCGGGTAAAATTTGAGGTAGGTACTTGGTTCTCTGATAGTTTTTTTAAAATTTTTAGAACCAAATATGTTGGAGACGGCTCAACCAAATATAGACAAACTATATAGTATTGGAATTGGGAAATTGTGCTCTTCAAGAATATAGAACCAAATATAGGGCATCCCATTTAAAAAAAGCTGAAAGCATGCATCATTTTACATTTCTGACATTCAATTTTTGTTTCTGACCATGGATTCTAAAAATTTAGCCAATACTGTACAACTTTTGTATTCACACCTTTCAACTACTTGTAAAGGTGAATACTGTAGGTCGGATGTCAATGCATAAAAAAACACCCTGTACTTGAACAATAACTTATTATATAAAGTCAGAATTTGTAAGATTATCCACTTTTTGTCAATTTACCTTTTAACAGGAATAAGTAATGTTACTTTACCAAATTAGTAACATAATGTGACAAGTTATTCAAGTACAAACGAGTGGATTGTTGCGGAACTTATGGGTGGACCTTTGCGGGACGAGCGCAGCGAGTTCCGCAGTCATCTATTTATAAATACGTTGTTCAGGTACGATACTAATTTGACTTATTCAAATGTCAGTTATTCTCATTAGTTCAAAAACTACACGTTTCAGATGAGTGTCTTACACACATCAAAATGGTCTAGGGAACAATAGATAATACCTATACTTATCAGAAATTTTTGCTGATTTTATTATAAAATATTTAAACTAAACAAACTTTAAAAAAAAAAAAGCCGATATGGTAAATTTGATTAGATTTGTTCAATAAATAGTGCCCACGTTATCTTTGAAAAAAAATTGTTTTTTGTCTTAAACTTAAAATAAAGATATTTCTTGTTCCCTAGACAATTTTGATGAGTGTATTTGAATAGTTGAACAGTATATTGGTGAGTAGATGGCTGCGGAACTCGCTGCTCTCGTCCCAAAGAGGTCCACTTATAACTTCCGCAATAATCCACTTATTTGTACTTGAAAAATAACTTATCATATAAAGTCGAAATTTGTAAGATTATTCACTTTTTGTCAATTCGCCTTTCAATAGGAATTAGTAATGTTACTTTACCAAACTAGTAATATATTGTGACAAGTTATTCAAGTACAAACAAGTGGATTGTTGCAAAACTTATGGGTCGACCCAGCCATCCATTCACCAATATGTTGTTCAAGTACAATACTAACCTGATTCACTCAGTTGTGAACTTTTCTCATTAGTTTAAAAACTACACGTTTCAGGTGAGTGTCTTATTTGGATAGTATATTGGTGAGTCGATGGCTGCGGAACTCGCTGCGCTCATCCCGCAGACGTCCACCCATAAGTTCCGCAATATTCCACTTATTTATAAAGGGTGTTTTTTCATATATCGACACCCCACCTACAGCCTTTACCTTTACAGGTAGAAGAAAGGTGTAGATACAAAAGTTGTACAGTTTTGGCTGAATTTTTAGAAACCATAGTCAGAAACAAAATGTGAAATTTTGCATGCTTCCAGCTTTTTTCAAATGGGATGCCCTATATTCTTGATGCCAACCAGAGATTATTTCACAAGAGTTAACAAAAAATTGATACGAGCAAGTTCCTGTCTGAAGTTACCAATTGTTATAAACATTCGGGTACTCACCCTCCTCCTAGTAATCCAAATCCGTCGTTCCCGAAGGGCGGTTTTGTGGGTCCGTTAAAGTAATCGCCGTGCAACAGCGGTTGCCAAGATTCAGGGTCATGAACGTCTGCATTAACCGCAACTACTGCAATCACGACGTAGAACGTTTGCAGAAGGCGGACGCTTGAGAATTCCATCATCCCGTCTTAATGATCTCTTATGCAAGCCCAATCATCTGAAACAAAATAAATATTTTCATTCGGAATGCTAATTTAATTTGTTTATAGTCATATATGTAAATTATATCTGTAAAGAGATTTTGATAGTTTTCTTGAGACATAAACAATGGGTATTGTTTATCTGGAATAATTTTGTAAGGTTTTTGACTCATAATGATAATCTGTCAGAAACTTCTACGGTCTCAGCTGATGTGGTTTCCTTCACAACTCCAAGGAACATTTCCTTTTTTGATTTTCACAAACGATCCCAAGTGATCCATATAAATTATTTTATGAAACTGAACTCCTATTTTGATAATCAAATGAAGATCACTTTTTCTTCTTCTTCCCGGGGTCTTGTTGTACCGATGTATCTATTTACATTCTGTCAAACCAATAATTTTCCTTTATCTTGTTTACTACTGCCTCATTTTTAGCTAGATGTCCAAGGTCATCATGACATCTCTATAGTTTTCCATCTGGATTTTTTTGGTAGATACAACTCATTTTAATTTCCCATCCCAATTTCATTCATTATTTTCCATTCTTCATTGCATATTTTTGTTTTCAATAATACATTCTCTCTACAATTCTGTGTGTTGTTGGATCAGTTTTTTAACTTAACTTTTCACTGGAAATAGTTTGTCAAAAGTTTTTTCCACCTTAACCCTTTTTTCCTGCTAACTTTCTTACTCACGGCTGGAAAAGTTCTTCAACTCGTAAAATTATTATTTGCGTCACTCCTAAGACAATGATATACCCTCTATGGATATACCTATTATTGTCTATTTTTATCCACGCCAAATAACTATAATATTAATTAATAGTTACTCAGGTGTACTACGATATAAAAACAATAATAATAAAAAACGACAAAGAATGAATTATCACCGTATAATTACGTTCGTCGAGATTCATGGTCACAAACGCCTGCAGTCACTGAGATGCGACCACCAAGACAAAGCGTTCGAATTTTTTTCTTACTGCTCAATTAGAGTCTTGTGCAACTATCGCGATAATAATTATTATAATTAGGAATGATTTATCTATATTTGATTTGCTGAAAAGTATGGTAATTAGTGGTGTGAAGGAACATGAGAGCTTAAATGGTGTGTTGTTGTTGTACGTTAGTTTTCAACAATAGGAATTCTTTGTGAATCTCATCAGCTTTTGCACCACGAATATTTATTTTTGAATGGAAGAAATAAAGAAACATCTTTTCATGGTTAAACTATAACCTCACTTTATGAACAAAACTATTTATCAGCTTATCAAATCAGCGAAAATTCCACAAAATATGGCCACACAAAACACTTCAGTGGTTAAAGGGACAAGTCATCTAAAGGGCCCCAGAGACTGCATTTTTGTTGGACGGTTTTGTTCGACGAGCAAATCAGGTCGAGCAAAAATGACGCAAAACCGAAGTGTGTGTGCGAAAAATTGTCGTTTTTGCTGCCATACAAAACCGATATCTGGATTCGCCTGATTTTGTCCGTCGGATATGTTCGATATGTCAACAAATCTGAAGTGTGTGGGCTACGAATTTTAAAAACGACAGTTTTATGTGGTGTGTGGTGCGTAGCTACAGAATTTTATGTTTAAAAACTTGTCAACATGACTGATCTTTGCCAAACTAAACCTAGGTCTGTAGGCAACTCCGGTCCGTCGTTTTTGCTCGACCAGATTTGCTCGTCGAACAAAACCGTCAAACAAAAACGCAGTCTGTAGGGGTCTTTAGTACACGAAGAGAAATGCGATTTCTTTGATAAAGAAAAATCACAAAAATGCAGCAAGGAATAGTAAAATAAGCAAATACCCCAGGGAAATTAGACCAAAAAAGGGATATCTGCGGAATGAGGCCGAACAAGCTGAATTTTTGCAGAGACCTTCGTTTTGATGTTCTAATGAAGCCCAAAAAAATCGAATATGCCTACCCTTGTGCGTTTTGAGATATCGAAGGTCAAAGGTCACGAAAATCGGGTTTTTGCGATTATTCCACTCATGTGTTAGAAATCCCATAAGACAAGTGACGATTTTCAGAATTACAGCGAAAATTCTCTTTTCTATTTGTTTAACTAGAGAGAATTACAGCGATAATTCTCCCATGTTATTGTATACATGGTTGTCATGCTAATTTTTGATACAAACAAACGGTTTCTGATAGCAACCATTTATTTGTATTGATTGTTAAGATGTTCAAACCGTTTAATACATATTTATTTCCATATTTTTTGCATTCTCATACGTGAAATAATCCTCTAAATACCACTTGAGCTTTAAAATGAACCAGATAATTTTTCACTCATGCGTGTTTTCTCTGCAAATTTCACTCGTCCTACGGACTCGTGAAATTAAAGAAAACACGCAATCGTGAAAAATTATCGGTAATTTTGAAGCTCTCTTGGTATTATCCCCGAAAATCTCACTTCTAGTGCATCTGACATCGAAGAACCCAGGACAAAACTTACGTAAAATAGTATTTTCTACAAAATTGTTCCTATACATTTTTTTGTACGATGAACCGTTTTCGAAATATAGCGTGATAAGCAGAAGCGCGCATTCAAAATAGGTGATACTGTATTATACAGGATGTCCCCGTTCAACTGGTCAAAAATACTAGGGTATATAGAGGAACCATAGAGAAGTAATTTGAGATTAGACACCAATGGTCGGAAATGCGTCATTTCCAAAATACAGGGTGTTGAAATTTAAACAACCCCCTTTCATAACATCTGAAATGCTAATGCTAGGCTATTCAAATTTTCATGGATTATTGATGTAAGTATGATATTTGAAAATTCGTATGATGCACCTCCATTTTCTACCTGGAACCATCCCAAAAAAAAATAAGAAATACCTAAAATTTGAAAAAAAGCATTTTTTTTCTTTTTTTTTCTTTTTTTTAGGGTAATTCTAGGTAGAAAATGGGGGTGCATTATATGAATTTTCAAATATCATTCCTACATCAATAATCCCTGAAAAATTGAACAGCCTAGCATTAGCCCTCCAGATGATATGAAAGGGGGGTGTTTAAATTTCAACACCCTGTATTTTGGAAACGACGCACTTCCGACCATCGGTATCCTATCTCAAATTACTTCTCTATGGTTCCTCTATAACCGTAGCATTTTTGACCAGTTGAACGGGGACACCCTATATAATACAGTATCACCTATTTTGTATATGCGCTCCCATTTTAGCACGCTATATTTCGAAAACGGTTCGTCGTATAAAAAAATGTATATGAACAATTTTGTAGAAAATACTATTTTACGTGAGTTCCTCGACGTCAGATGCACTGGAAGCGAGATTTTCGCAAGAAAAAGATTTTCGTGACCTTTGACCTTCGATATCTCAAGACGCAGTAGCAAGTAGGCATATTCGATTTTTTTGTGCTTCATTAGAACATCAAAACGAAGGTCTCTGCAAAAAGTCAGCTTGTTCAGCCTCATTCCGCAGAGGAAGTCTAATTTTCCTGGGGTTTAAAAAAAATGACTAGATTGAAGGATGCTTGTGAACTGTATTTATTTGAGATATCAGTTTATCATATCAACAAGGTTTAATTTAGTCGATTCAAACAAGAACAGTTTGGGAGAAAATGAAAAGTAACCAATTATACATGGTGTTTGGTACAGGGTGTTTGTTTATAACTGGAACACTCAGTAACTTTTTTATTATTGGGAATAAAGGGCATGTTTAAATTGGAAAATGTCTTAATAAATTGCAACGATTTTAATCGCTGCAACGATATTTTTTGTCGTCATAGGTATACAGGGTGCGCCAAAAAAGTCATTTTTTTTAAATGGAGCGCCCTGTATATTTTTGCATTTTTAGAATTCTTAGAAAATTAACTCCACAAAAATATTAAACAATATTTGGATAACAAAAATATACAGGGCGATCAATTTGAAAGAAATACCTTTTTGGCGCACCCTGGTATACCTATGACGGCAAAAAAACATCGTTATATCACTTAAGGTTGCAATTTAACAAGAAATTTTCCAACTTCAACATGCCCTTCATTTTCAATAATAAGAAAGTAACTGAGTGTTCTAGTTATAAACAAACACCCAGTACATCGATAGGAATATTTCCATGAGTGATAGTTGGGGTCATTTGGAAGCTGTTTGACCATATTTACCCAAATGAAAAGTTTCGCCATTTTTTGAGATATCGCCATTTTTCATGTATTGTAACACATAACTTGGGCTACATATTTGTTGTATTAATCATTCGGTTTTTCTTTTCCTATTTTTCTTTAGTAATGATATTCGTGGACTTCCACAAAACCTTTGACACAATAGAGCTAAATTCAGTGTGGAATGCACTTCAGGAATGTAGAATCGACTACCGATATACCAAGCTCATCCACAATATCTTCAAAAATGCAACAATGACGGTAAAACTACATGAAAATACCAACCTCATAACTATTGAACATGGTGTTCATTACAGTCATGGAGAGTGCATTCAAACTATTGGACTGGAGTCAGAGAGGTATAAACATAGATGGCAAGAACCTAAACAACTTACGTTTTGTAGATGATATAGTGCTATTCTCGGATAATTTAGAAGAAATGCGACTGATGTTGCAGAACCTGCAGGAAGTGTGTGGAAAATTCGGTCTTAATATCAATATGTCAAAAACAAAATTCATGACAAACCTTGTTCCCAGCTGTGGCTTGAAGATTGACGCAGCTGAAATATTCAAATGGTAGATAGATATGTGTACGTTGGCCACGAGGTCAGCATCTCAACGGATAAGCAGACATGCGAACTAAAGAGAAGACTCTCTCTCATGGGCAGCTTTTGGAAGACTTAAAGACATTTTCAAGAGTGACATTCCCGTCAATCTAGAAAGAAGGGTTTTCGATCAGTGCGTGCTACCAGTAATGACATATGGCTCAGAAACCCTAACAAGAACAACAGCAAAGAAACTCAGAGTTACACAGAAGAAGATGGAGAGATCCATGCTTGGTGTGACCTTGAAGGACCGCATAAGAAACGAGGATCTGCGCGAAAGAACCGGTATCAGCGATGTCGTTGGAGCTATTGCGAAGCTTAAGTGAAACTGGGCTGGCCACGTTACACGGATGCGGGATGATCGATGGGAGAAGAGGCTTCTTGAGTGGGGACCTAGAACGGACAAGCGAAGTAGAGGAAGACCGCCTACGCGTTGGTCGGACGATATTAAGAGGACCCGCAGCAACTGAATACAATCTGCACAAAATCGATTAGATTGGAAAATGATTGGGGAGGCCTATGTTCAACAGTGGACGCAGAGGGCTGGTTGATGATGATGAGATAAAACGTTGTACATCACTACAAAACTCGTGTGATTAGAACGACTCGGTCTACGACCTCGTCTTTTACACTCGTTATTATAATCATGTTCATAAACGCACTTGTAATGTAAATAACTATTAAAGGTTCTAATAATTTGAACTAGTAAAATCATATGAATATTGTTTAGAATAAAATGAATGGAAAATTAACGCAATTGCAAATTATTTACACCTAACTTAGACCTTGTATTAGACTGCAAAACTGTCACCAGTTATTATCGCATTAACTTTTTAATTATTTTCATTATGTTTTTATTAGAGACCCTGTAAAGAATAATTATTATGCTTTGAATTACTTCAATTTGATAAAATAGTGTAGTAGTTTAATTATTTCTTTGTTTTGGTTATTAGTTTATTTTAATAATTCGAAGTAAGTAATTCGAATTGTTTTTATGCAAATTAGTTCTGATGAAAAATGAATGAGCATTCAGAGTTTTTTATTTCAAATGTATCATCTTATTTCGATTAAATCATAATATAAAATTGAAAAAAATCTTCCTTATTTTGAACCGATAGGTACATTTTGCAGTTAGAGAAAAAATGATAATACAGAAAAATTCAAACATGCAAAATAAACATTAGTACATTTTTATCAATAGGCATGTAGATATTAAATTACTTTTGCGTGTTTGTAGATTAGCAACTCTTTCAAATCAAGGAAAAAAGTTGTAATGAAAAGTTCTGCAAAAACCATGATAAGTACCCTATAACAATTCACATAGGGACCTACTTTCCTTGAAAAGAAAATTATCAAATGTGAATTGAAAACTACTATTTGACATATTTGGGACAGATATACAGGGTGTACCATTTAAAACGAAACAGGCAGAATATCTGATGCCACGTTTATTTTTTTACAAGTCGCTCGTACATACACGTAAATTTATTTTCAAAGGGGGAAGTTTTCTGCAACTATTTTTAGCATTTCAACTTCAACCCTCTAGGCGGGGTGGGAACAACCCTTACTATTTCAAATGGAACAAGGGGTCGAGTAATACCTTTTTTAAAAAAGCGTTCAATTCTCTTTCATTGTTAATGATGTTTCAAACACTCACACAATCATGTACGAGCGATTTAGAAAAATAAATAAAAGTGACATCAGATATTTAGCCTGTTTCGTTTTAAATGGTATATCCTGTATAAAGATTTTACACATCTTGCAAATAATTAACATAAAAGATTTTAATTGAGTATATTCTTGGTGGAAAAAGCTACAGATTGCTAAATTACTATAAGATTCTGAATAGTAGATATAAATGGTATCTACCTATTATTGCGAGGTTTAAATCTCCCGAGATTTTTCGCTTTGTGGGTCAAATTGTATATTAGGTAATAACAACTTTTAGGAGACACCATAAATACAAACAAGCGGTAAACCGAATAAAAGTTTCTTTTTCAAATTAGTTTATATAACGTGCATGCAAATTATAGTGCAAACCCATTATTATTGTATAGGATCTAGATCTAACAATAGTTCTATTATTTTTTAACAAAATGAGTGTAAGCGAGTATTAATTTTAGTTACATATAAGAATGTATAGTCCACATTTGAAATAAATGTTGAAATTTTGTAAAGAACTTCATAAATTATGTAAACCCAATCATTTATGTCAGCTTTTTTTTGTTATGATAAGTAGGTATAGAAATTATCAATAAAAATACTGACAATGAAAATGGCAGTGATAAATGGAATCTATTAGAAATTGTTGGTGATTTGAGTGTCTTGAAGTAAAATCTTTAGGAATTTTACAAATATGAATGAAAACGTAACTATTATTAAATCTAATGAAATTCAAAATCCGAAGGTAATGAAGGATCAATTATCAAAATTAAGCCCCGTGATTTCGTAAAGCTCACAAACATAATAAGCAATCAATTATGAAAATATCCCGAATAAATTTCTTCTCCTTATTTACCATTTTTGTGTATTCCAAGCTGCTGAATTTACGTCTTCTCCAAAATTTCTGACAATGAAAAATAAAGATAATGTATGGGAAAAAAGCAAGGAATTTTCATTAATTTTTTCCTTAAATTAAAATATAGAAATTACGTTTTGAAGAATGATGAATTTATTGTCCAGGCAGTATCAGAATAAATATTATCTCCAAAATTGTCTTCTCAATTTTTATAATACTTGTTCTTTGATTATATTGATTTTCAGAGGAAATTACTTACAACAATATGAAGGAAAAAAAAATCCAAAATAAATATCGCGAGCCGGTCAGTAAACTAGATCGTATCCTCGATCACATAGAATGGCGCTCACTCAGAAAGTACCGATCAAAGAACCAGCCGTCAAAGAACTAACCGTAGTTCAGTTTCGCTTGCAAACTGTCGGTCAATCGGTCGTATGTCTTGGAAGTTCCTGTCCCGAGAGGGGGATTTCACTTTCCCTTAAACGTCGTTATGTTATAATGTAATCTGAGTAATGTAACGTGTATAATACTTATCTTAGACATAGACGCTATAATTTGTCAAGGGTTTATCGGATTGTGCTCGATTTTTGGACCGCGAAAGCGTGTCATTTAGCGGAATTGATTGTGTGTCACATTTTTAGATTTGTGTCTGCAAATAATACGTCGGGCAGAAAATATCTGTTTGTTCGTTACTTAACATTAGCAGACATGTTTGTTATGGGTAGACTTAACATACTTAAATATTAGTTTTGTTCTTACTGTCAAAAAAAAAAGAGACACTACACATAAGTATCATCATCATCACGCAGCCATTTTCGTCCGCTCTAGATATTTCTATATCTCTCTGTTTTGAGCAGTTGCAACCAAATTTGTATGTGTTCTTTCCAGATCATCTATCCATGTCGTGGGAGGTCTTCTTCTTCTGCCCAGTCCAAAGTAATACGTGTTGAGAGTTCACACCTTTGATTGTCTCTGTCATTCAGTATCACGACAGAGGATCAGAACACAGCTTCTCAGCTCTTTTTCTTCCAGCCTATAGTCATCCACTTCTGGATATAGGCAACCTACAAAATCTTAAATTACATCGATGAGTCCTTTGATTTATTTCCGAAGACATTTAATCTATTTTATTTTGAACCATATGTGTAATTTTCACATTTCTTACTACTGGTTTGAAAGTTCGAAAATGTCATTTTACTTTTGTTTACTTTAAAGTAGGTCGAAAGTGACAGTTCTCCTGTCACTTTCGGCCTGGAGAACTCACTTTCGGCCTACTAAATTGTTCTTTCACACCTAAACACAAATCCAGGTGCAATTTTTGTATTTAGAAGTAGATCTCACATGTGTTTGTATTGTTGAAATTCCATAAGATGTCAATGTCGGTGTCAGAGTGTCAGTCAAAATTCCATTTTTGTCATACTTTTAGCTTATTTTGTTTTTCATATACAGTGTCATTACAAGTGAGCAACATATGGGATTTTTTTTAGTAATAGCACAATCAGAATACAAACAATGCCAAAAGTTGGTGCATGTCTGATAATCATATTAGGTGCACTTAGAATGGTTGCAAGTCAAACAGCATACAGGGTGGCTCAAAAAATATCAAAATTCTACTATTATTTACTTAAATAAAATAAAACTTTTGCACTTTAAGGAGAGTTTTTTTAATATGGCTATTATCATTAGTAATGTTTTAACTTGTAAAAAAAAAACTGCGACATTTTAAAGTTGTGTTGAATATCATTGCAACAAACATGAATTTTGTGATTCCATAAAAAATTGAAAATCTAAGTTAATCTTACAAATATGCTTAAATTTGAACAAAGTTATGTGAAATTGATATGATTTTAATTAATTTTTGAAAATATTAAGGGCGGAAATAAAAAATAAGAAAAATACAGAAATTATAGATTTTTTTCGAAATAAAATAAAAAAAAATCTTAGGAGGCTATGTTTTGGTATTTAGGCATAACTTTCAATTCCAAACAACTTTTCTCTATAACATTTTGCTGAATTTTCTAAAATAAGGGTACCTAACAGTACAGCTTTGATATTGTTTGAGCTACCCTGTATGCTGTTTGACTCGCAACCACTCTAAGTGCACCTTATATGATTATCAGACATGCACCAACTTTTGGCCTTGTTTGTATTTGGGTTGTGCTATTACTAAAAAAAATCCCCATATGTTGCACACTTAAAAAATCACACTGTATAATACCACAAGAGAAAAAAAAGGATAACGCACACCTAACATGGGATTTTTGGGCTCTATGGATTTTGCCCATTTTTTGATATGTTGTAGAGGATTTACTTCTGAACAACCTTTAAATGGGACGAAATCTGGTAGGTATTACAGTCTTTGAGGTATGAGCCTTGAAAGGTGAACTTTTTTGCAACTTTTTGTGTGAAGAGTATACGGTGTTTATCAGTCAAAATTTTGACAGGTCGACATATTTCACGTCACTAACAAATGTCAACATAGGGTAAGGCCGGGACCGCATTGGCGCCAACATTGAGCCCAGTGCGGTCCCGGCTTTAACCTAACTTGACATTGATTTTTAAGTGACGTAAAACTTGTGAACCTGTCAATATTTTGACTGATAAACAGCAGTAACACCAGTATCTCGTATACTCTCCAAACAAAAAGTCGCAAAAAAGTCCATCTTTCAACGCTCATATCTCAAAGACCGTAATACCTACAAGATTTCATCCCATTTAAAGGTTGTTCAGAATTAAATCCTCTACAATATATCAAAAAATGGGCAAAATCCATAGAGCCCAAAAATCCCATGTTAGGTGTGCGTTATCCTTTCTTGGCAAAATTTTCGACTGGTATGAAAGTTTGTTGCTTGGCAATTACCAAAAAGTAACAAACTTGAATAAAACCAAGAGAATAATTTTGCCTACATAATTTTTTCTTGAGTGGTATTCGGCTGGACTATTTCACGAGAAAAACAAGCCAAATTTTCATTTGGAAAATTTATTTTCTTTAGGTGACACTTGTCAAACTCAATTAGACTATCCAAGATGCTGTCAAACCTAAATTAAAATGTCCGCCAAGAGGCACACAAACGCGTTGTTTGCTTGTCAAACTCACGTGTTTTGGATAGGCTGACAATTCCTAGATGCTGTCGAACTTAAATAAAAATGTCTGCCAAGAGGCACACAAACCCTTTGTTTGCTTGTCAAAGTCACGTGTTTTGGATAGGCTAAGATTTTTTTACCTTAACCACACAAAATTTTGTCGCTGAAAAACCATCATGTTGATTTTGCCCAGGTAGGAACAGGTAGAAGTTTTGTCAGTAGGAAACCAGCCGTTCCAATGACATTTTGCCAGTGAAATAGTCAATAATTGATGGTTCAAAATAAAATAGTATACATATTTCGGTGGAAAGTTTTCATATATATTGTCTCGAGAATTGTTTGACCTCGGCGCTTCGCACCTCGGTCAACCATAGTATCTCTCGACAATAATGAAACACTTTCCACCTCCGTATGTAATATGCTATTACCTCAGTATGACAGTACGTCCAAATTATGTAGTCAATATGAAAAAAACCGCATATGTTTCTACGATTACAAAACTCGAAAAACAAATAAAACAAAACTCAATAATTCCTCTCAAACAAAAACAAGGTGGATATCGTGTAACATTCGTCAGAAGTCGAACAACATCCAGCATCTCTCCTTTCTTCATCAGACACAAAAATTATATTTTTATGCAAATTGAATTGCTATGCCCGCGGTAATCTGTAACATTCTCTTTCATTCCGGTTGTTCCGGACTTATAATATGGGTGTATTAAAACACGCTGCTTCTGCTACCATTACTTCCACTTAATTCCTATGATATAATTTAATGGTTCAAGGAAAATGGTTTTAGGACATACAAATTAAAACGAAATTAATTGTAGAGAGGCGTATAGTAATATAATTTCAAATTAATTTAATGTGACTACTTTCTATCCAACGATTACTCATTTTCTTGAAGTTCGATGGATAAGTAATTTTTTTATTAGAGGTGATTTATATTTTTATCGGGTTCACAAACCATTATAATATATTAGGTAACTTTATTACTTAGGTAATATTTTTCATAACAGTAAGAAAATTCGTGTTCTCACGAGTTGATTTAGGTTTATCGACTAAAGTCGTATCAATCTATGGTCCGTTTCACCAGGGTTCATACTTGACCTTGAAACTTGAAAAAAAAGGGTTGTAGATTAATTCATATGACACATTCAATTTTTTTGACAAATTAAAATGATTTAAGAACCGACGAACGTTTTTGACGTCATTGATTTGTTTCAGTCAATTTTGATTTGTTAAACAAGGAAGGCAAATGCTGGTGGCAAGTACAAACCCTGGCGAAACAAACTTTACCTACTTTATTATCCAATCGATTGGTTTTCAAATGGTATCAAAGATTATTTCGAATATTTTTACTTACTTCAATCGATTACAATTTTTATCTTACCTAATAAATCGAGCTTACCTATTATTGTCCATTACTCCATATAATGTAACAGAATTGTGCCGAAAGTTGCACTGCACTAGTCCATGCTAAACCAGTGCAATTTCGACCTCATAAATAAACCCAGCCCGAAATTTATTGGACATTACGTAGACACCGTTTATTTTGGCAGTGTGATTTATTTTTACCATACATCGGTGTCCAAATCTCGTTGAAAAGATCATTAATTAAGAGAATGTTATCTATGACGTTGAAAAAACTTTGATTATGGGTGTGAATTGGTGCTAGGTGCAGCAATATTTCGTAGCTAAATATTTTTGATAGGTATAAATTTTATTGAGAGAAAAAAACAAATTGGCCAATGGGGATATTTAGTGTTTCTTTTTTATTTTTTTTCTAATTCTAGAACACGAACTACTTCTAATAGCGCTATTTTGGGGAACGTTTAAGTTGTCGTTAATTTTTAATAAAAAATATAAATTCAGCAGCATTTGAAACGCCGCAGAAAACCCGCCAAATATGACGTCAGTCCCTACAACTAGCAAAAATCTACTGCAAATAAGTACTTTGTCAGATTGTCGTTGTCATTGTTGATTTCCAAGATTGCCTTTTTTGTCGTATATTTGGGACTACAGTTATAAAATTATTGTAATTTTTTAATTGTTAGTGGGTTTAGTTGCAGAACAACAGTTTTTCTAGGGTTGAAAAAGGATTTATGCCACGTCATGTTGGTATTAAGGAATCACGACACTCAGTTTGGCAACGTTGCACTGTCTAACTGTCAAGAGGTTATGTTGACCGCGTTAAACGAACAAGATGCAAATAACGAATGAGAAGTTTCATCATTGTCACTCTTCAGAAAGTAAACAAGGAAAGCATATAAGATATGCGCCAGAGCTATTGTGAACGATTCTTATTGGTCGGAAAGTGTATA